TTTGAGCCATTACCAGTATCAATAGATGATACTGGAGATCTGTGGAGGTGCGGCTGCACCCTGCGTGACGGGAGATGTCTCCCGTGAGCACTAATCTCTTTGAATCTGGCTTTAATAAGGAGCCGGATGTTATCGACCCCTGCGAGTTAAAGTTCAAGTACGTTTATTTAGACAATAAATTACATCTCAAAGGGACAGAGTCGCTTAGGCTATTTCTTCCACCTCTACTTCAAGTCCTTCAAGGGGCGCACAAATCCAGTGAGTACAAATACAAAATACAAATCCCATTTAACATTGCAGGTTAATATAGTAAGTACAGCATACAAGTGTTACACTCGTGGAACAAAATGCTTGTAGCTCCCAAGTATTCTGTCTATCATACGATTAGCACACATCCCAACAATTTGATGTGGTACACTACTTATTTCCTTATTTCTATAGTTATCAATAAGTTGACACTAATACATAATGATCTAAGGTGTGGGCGTGCGGCATACTACATTATTTACACTCTTTATCTTTTTCACTGACATCAACACCATATTGCCAGATATATTTGTATCCTACTCTTAATCTCATGCAAAGTGAATCCGTCCGAGTAGATTTTCCTCTACCATAGGTGAAGGACGAATTTGTATTTATTACTGCATAATTCTTAGGTGTGTTACTGCTGTCCATTGCCATTCTCTTAACATTTTCTTCATCCTCTTGGATCATTTTGATTCTTGTCTTTATTTGTTTTAATTTATCTATTTTATCTATTAATTTATTTGTTTATCTATTTTATCTGACATACAACATTGACAAGAGTTTTTCCGAGGCTCTCTTCGCTCTCTCATCAACTGCCTCATTCAACAGTATTCTCACATGTGAAGGGATCCACATGAATCTTACTTTATACCCATTAATTTCTAATGTCAATATTCTCTCTACACTCGATCACAATATTCTGGAATACTGGTCTTCTGCTATTTAAAGACTCCAACACTCATCTGCTGTTTATAAAGAAACGGGCATTTTTACCACATTTGACTATTTCCTGTAATCCTGCTAATACACCTTGGAGTTCAGCCTGCATTGAAGAGACAACGTCAGTTAAGCATCGTCCAATAACAGTATCTACAGTGCCGATGTCATTGTACTCCCTGATCAATACTCCACATCCTGCCTTTCCATCCCTAGCTACTGACCCATCACAATATACATGTAAGAGTGTTTTCTCTTGGTAATTTTCTAATTGTACAATCATATGTTGCCCTCAGCTCTCCTATCTCATACATACTTGTTTTCTTTTGCAGGGAAATAATTACTACATCTACGTTACAATCTTCCCATGATGGTGTGAATTGTCTCTTAGGCAAATCAATACATTCTGGAATAACATCATGCTTTATAACATTAAAACATAAGGTACTCATATATGCTCTCTTATTATACTTTATCATACATTGTTCATTACTTCCCAACTTTTGAAATTTGAGGATTAATTCATTAGCTCACCCACCTCTGATTAATCTAATGGCAGAGGCTACATTTATCTCTGAAATTCTATCCCCAATACTCTTCAGATTCAACTCCATCCTCATTATCTCAGTCATAGCATTTCTTGGGCATCCTAAGATAATTCTCATGGCTTTATTTTGTGCCTTCTCCAACTTGCCCATCCTACCTTTACCAAAACAAGAAATGACAGGTGCAGCATAATCTGTAAGGGATCTTTTTTTTTGAGATATATACAAGAGTTGTTACATTCTTGTACAGCCACTAGTACGCGTAGCGTTTCGGGCAAGTCCTTAATCCTATGGTCCCTGGACTACGATCCCCTGCCGCGAAGAATCGTTTTTTCATCCAAGTACACATTTTACTGTTGCGTTAAACAGAGGCTACAGTTCAGGAATTGCGCCCAGTAAATCCTCCCCGGCCAGGATACGAACCCATGACATAGCGCTCGCGGAATGCCAGGCGAGTGTCTTACCACTACACCACGGAGACTGATCTTACAGTACTCAAGTATATCACTCGTAGCACAGGGCCTCCCACTCCCTATCCACGGTAGAAAATAATAAAAGAAAAATAATAAAATAAGTATAAGTAAAAGTATAAATAAGTATAAAAATAAGTATAAGTAAAAGTATAAATAAGTATAAAAAATAATAAGAGGTAGAAAATAATAATAATAAAAAAAAAACTCCCTATCCACAGCATGCCAAAGTCTTCAGAGGTTGTAATCTCTTCCGACATTGACCCAACAGTTTGTTCATCTCAGCTTCCAAACTCTCATGGGGTATATCCAACATATGTGCCTAAATATTTATATATATTAACTCTATATATTTTTACCGTTTATTTTCAGTATAATAGGCCTCCGACTTCTACCTTCAAACTTAGTTTTGTCTTCATTAACCACCAGTCCCATCTGGTGACAGATATCCGAAATTATCCAACACCGTTTGAACCTTTGAAATATCTTTGCCCTGAAACAAAATATCATCGGCATATATAATCGGAGTTACCCCCATTTGAGTATCTCTCAGATGCTATCCTATTCATTAGTATCTTAAACAGGGTGGGACTCAACACTCCTCCCTGAGGTGTGCCGAGTTCAAAAGATCTTATACCTGACATACAAAGTTGATACCACACCTGAGTCTTTCTTTCGTGAAGATAATCCCCTATCCAGCGCAATAATCTCCCTTTAACGCCAAGACCAGCTAGTTTATATAAGATAACCTTATAAGATAATCTCTTTGTTAGCTTTATCAAAGGCTCCTTGTAAATCAATAAAAATTTTATAGTAATCATTATCATTAGCTAGACATTTAATAATAATACAGTCAGAGGTAGATTTGCCTCTGAGGAACCCGAACAAATTACTAGACAACTGATCAACTATTATATATATAAAAGTCTATTTAAAAATATCCTCTCCGTCATTTTACAAAAACACGAGGTTAAGGACACAGGTCTATACTCTCCATTGGCTTTAGGGATAGGGATGATCATAGCCTCTACATTTACTAGGAATACTGCCCTCTTTGTAACTAATATTAAAGAGGTCTAACAGTAGGCTTTTCTTCATAATGGCAAGTTCATTAAGTCTTCCATAAGTTACTCCATCCTCTCCATGGGCGGTAGATTCTCAACTTCAATCGCCAGTATTAGTTCATCTCTGGTAATACCTGTGCAAGTGACATTTCAAGTTCAGGTATGTTTATTGAGACAAGAAAGAATTTTTATTATTATTATTCTTTTCTACCACAGACCTGGCCACACATTTACAATGCTAACTAGCATATATACATTTTCTTCTGTCCTCCATGGACAGGGTGAGAGATTTGTCAAACATACAGTTCAGAGATTTATTGAATAACCACAGAAGGTGATCGTAGTGCTTTTAAAATGTTATGCTAAGCTACATACGTAAATACATAGATACACAGATTTATGAATGCATTAATGTGAATTTTACATCTAAAAGGGATAGAGTAGCTTAGGCTATTTCTACCCCCCCCCCCCCTTCAAGTGACATCACCACTGTTACCTGCTGTAAATATAAGGTCCTTTCTTAGATCTTTTCAAGAATCTATTGACTCTCGTTGTAGCGGACAATGAACTAAGTTTGGCAGCTTCCGCCCATTTATCTACGAGACCGTTCGCAGTTCCTTTCGGGTCAGGATGTGCAACAAAATTATGCTTTTTACCCCTTACTTTATTTACGTCTTGAAAAATTTCCTTCAAGTTTCTGTTACTCTCAACTTTCTCTGCAAACTCCTGCCAATACTTGCTACTAATTTCCTTTCTCTTCTCCCCACACAGCCTAGCAACTGCCAGTAAAGCATTCTTCCCTACCTCAGTCTTACCATTCCGATCCAATCCCCGTGAGCTCTCCTCATTGTTAATGTCCACCCCCTAAGCATCTTGTCTTGTGTATAATTTTCTTTTCTTGGGGGATGCTTTTTTATACTGGATGTTCTTCAGTTCAATGTCCCGTTAAATATATGTACCTCCTTAATTAAATCTTCATAAAATGCTTCTGCCGAAACTGGCTTATAAGTATCATACCAAGACTTAATATGACCAACTTTTTTTTTATTAATAATACATGAGGTACATCTGCATTTGTGCAGCTACCCTAGACTATGAAGTGGAGTACAATGTGTCAAAAAAAGCTAGCTACGTGATGCTAAAAAATCCTCATCACACAGGATGATTAGTCATACAGAGGCATGTGATAAGCAGCCTGAACTGGCAGACTCCGGATGCATTTTGAGAATATCATCAACACAAGATTGAATAAGGTAGCAGTTGTAAAAAAGTCCCCATCTCGCAGGATGGTTAGTCATACAGGACCATATATTTAGTAGCCTGCACTGGCAAATTTTGGGTACACTGTGAGGATATCTTCAAGAATACGAGAGTGAATAAAGTAATTACAAAGCTCCAGGTACCTCATGCCAACTGGTCTGAAAAGTCTAATAACTGGGCATTCGGTGATGTAGTGTGGGAGATCATGCCGCAGTTCCAGCTCACGGAGTTTGCACCTGGAGTGCTCAGGATTGGGAGATCTGTCACCTGTAGCCACCTGCCACAGGTAATGGTAACCCAGCCTGATCCTGGCAACCACTGTGTCGCACAGTCTGGTGGACGTTTTGTGCTGTCCATAGATATAGGTTTCAGATCTGAACAAATCATAGCTTTTAATACTAGTACTTTCAGGTCGTTGGGAGTCAGTAATTTCTTTCCTATCAGACCTGATTGTTTGAACCAATACAGTTTTGACAGTAGAGATGGGGATACCTAGATCTAATTCAACTTCATCTTTGTTGCACGCTAATTTGGCTGCAATGTGTCTCATTATGATGGGTTATATTTATGTGTGAAGGTATCCATATAAAAGAGATTCGAGACCCTATATGACCAACAAGACCCCTTAATTCTCCCTCACTAAACTCTAACCTTTTCCTCTGAAGGCATGCATTTTTTTTTATCTAGTTTAAGCTGTATTCGTAATACAAAATGATCACTTAGCATTTTATCTACAGTAAGACAATTTATCAAACAAGCATAATCTAATGTCCCTCCCCGCAGATGAGTAGGAGAGGGCTCGCCCAGCTGTTGAGCATCTTCATGTTCCTACAATAACTGGTACTATCTGCAACCATTACTATTTTCTTTACCCCTTGATCTTAAAGCTGGATGCCTGGCATTAAAATTACCTACGACAAGCGTATCTTCAGAAAAGAAGGAATCTGGCAAGTATCTTAAATCAAAGGAGTTATCAGAGATGTATAAATTAATTAAATTTAACTCTCGGTCTTGTAACTGTATCCGCAAACTAATACTTTCAATGAACAAATCCACAAATCCCTTGTGGATTTGTTCATTTGATGCATCACGTTAGTGTGATTTCTGTGTGTAATACTTTCAATACCTCTATATCTCTGAGGAATCCCAGTTATCTAAGCAAGTATGGTACTTTTGGCATAACATGAGACTCCCCTAATTCCTCCACCGTCTTGGTTAAAAAAGTTTTCACTTATAAAGGTTATAAGTGAAAACCTTTATAGCCATTTAGCCTCAGAATGCTACCATCCCTATCCCCAGTTTCCTGGAGCGCTACTATGTCAATATTCTCTCTAAAATTATAATAATGTACATCCACTGTTTTAGTTTTTAACCCATTAACGTGAACGTGCTAGGTGAACAGGGATATCAGGGTGAAAGAAATTGCCCATTTGTTTCCGCCATCGCCGGGATCGATCCCCGGTCCCTAGGATTACAAATCCCGAGCGCTCTCCACTTAGCCACCAAGCCTCCTTGATGAGCTAGTTTCATAATTAATATGTTTATCTGTGTATATATCTTCCGGGAAATAAGAAGTGGGGGGTACATTAGTCTGTGAGCCGTTGTTGTTATAGATCCAGCTACTAGGAACAAGTTCCAAGTAGCACGGGCTATGGTGAGCCCGTAACTTACCTGGCACAGGAGCAGGGCAAATAACACGGGCTATGATGAGCCCGTAGTGGACTTACCTGGCACAGGAGTGGTACCGTCAGTGTGTGTGAGCCGGTGAATTGGTGTAAATATCTCTATACGAGTCCCTAAGTCCTTGAAGGCTTGGCTGTTCATAGGTCCCCTACCCCAACCACACCCCAATCCCCCCATCCTGCCTTCCCTCCTTTAAATAGTTGCCAAGCCGTCTATAATACATGTGTCCGCATAAGACCAGTTTTAGTTTAAATTCACATTGTTTATTTTGAATCAACTCCTCGTTGACATGTATCATAATAATAAAGGAGAGAGGGGAAAGTATCAAATTCAAGGGATTATTATTAGTTGGTAATTCTTGTCTAGCAATAGTGTGTGTGTGTGTGCGTGCGCAGCCTCCATGCGCACATGCAGGCCGTCCTGACGTCACGTTGTGCTTACTCTCAGTGTCTCAACTGCTGGTGACGTGGAGATACGTTGTGTTACGCTCTCCCAGGTTTACACAGTGATTGTTACCGTCATTTATTTTGTGAACACTCGCTAAAGGCTTGGCGAACACTGTCGGGGTCAGCTTTGGTGAGTATGGTGAAAACCTGTACGATTAAATGTCTAGATGTTGAGTAGAACTTATTTTTTTTTTTGGTAGTGGCGCAAGGCTCTGGCTGGCCGGAGTGTTATTCATTTTCCGGATCACTAGACCACGTGACTGATTTAAACATATGTATAAGTGGCGGTAACATAGATGAACTTTAACATAGATTAACTGCGTGTGAAAAGTTTACTAGGCAAGATTTGTCTGGGGGCCTTGGTAAACATTTCCTGCTACGTTTAAGCGGTCTGGCGGCGGCCAGGCTAGGGGCCCTGATTTAACTTTTTTTTTATTTTTTTTTTTAGATTTCCAAATGTGTTCCCACAGAGGTCATATGACCAAGGCGGGGTTCTCTTTGTTATAATGGCTGGAGTCCAGTCCAGAGAAATACCAGTCTCCTTTTTTGAATTCTAAAAATTTGTGAGTGTTGCATGCAGTATGACATTTCCTGAAGACAATGGAGTTTCCGTCGCCCACCGGGGCGTCGGGCGAGCGTCGGTCGTCCATCTTCGTCTATCTGTTATTGGCTCTTTCACCCACCAGCACGGATCTGGATGGCATGGAAGGGGTGAAGTAGATGATGACATTTGTCTGGAATCAGGCCAAGTAGGTACCCGGGAGTTTAGCAACTGTTGTGAACAGTATCCTGTAGGTCAGTTGTTGGCCTAGAGACATTGAGGAGCTTAACTGGCATTATATGTCTGGTATGATAAAAATTAAGGGGGGAGGGGTGTGGTAGCAGCCTTAGTAATCTACAGGTAACCTTGGTCTGTACTCTTACAACCGTCCTTATACACATCGTTCTACCTGCTGGCCTGATTAATTTAATAATTGTTGAAGATTACCATTGTGTAACATTTGTTCTAATACTCTGGAGTATAATCCAGGATTTTAATTCCTGTCGTTGATTACTGAATATGGCATGACGAATGTAAGCCATGCCCATAATTGGGCTGATATCGGATTATATTATGCATAAATAATAACATTAAGGATATTTTTATTTTAAATCTTGTAGACGATCAAAATTCGGCAGTCCAAGACTGAAGATTTAGGGATCATATGTTTGGATGTATCGGATCGATAATTTCAAACGGAAGCTAACCGGTCAGTAAGTTAAGAGACCGGAATGTAAATGTACGCCCACACACCTTCTTCGTTGTTTCAGCTACTTAGCCTGTCACAACCAATACCACAAGAACAATTATTACGGCAACCGTCACTCGTGCGCTCCTGCTAACCAAACTTTTGTTGTATTCTATGAGCTTGATTCATCTTTAGATCCCCCACCCATACTACACCAAATGTATTTAAACCTTTCGACCTTGCAATATGTTGACGTACTTGCTCTTTGTTGTAAATGAAAGTTGCCTTGTTTAGCGTACCAAAATTTTTATCGCATTGTGAGTTGCGCGCACGTGGTGCAGTGGGCTGGCTTTGTTTGGTAGGAGGGGAGGGAGTGGCCTGGCGCCGCGTGGCAGACACTCGTAAAGATGTATACTGTCCCTTAATCACCTGTTGATTATGGGACTGAGGTGTCCAGTCCAGAGAAATTGCTCCTCTGGTAGTTTTGATCTTTCTGCACAGAATCTGGGGCACCTTCCTTCCCCCTCATTGCCAACCACACCCCATTTAGCTTTATCTTTACTTGTTTTCTCTATCGGTAAAACATATGAAAACTGAACGCAAGGACCATTATTACACACAGAAATCACAATTGCGTGATGCACCATTATTACTTTGATCTGAATCCGTGCACGAGTAACTCAGCAAGGTGATATGGTCGTGCTGATGATTGATAGAACGTCTTGCATGATAGCCAGAGTAACGGGGTCTGGCGTGTAAGAGTGCGTGCACCTCTGCCTGTGTCCCACATTATCTTTAGTTCTCAATCTTTTGTCAGGGCATAATTCAAGTGTCTACTTCTAATGTTGCCACCATAGTTTTTGTTCTTGAATTTGTCTGAAGCTGTGCTTAGTCTCGGTGATCCATCTTTCTAAAAGCACTAGTGTTCTGCGAAGTTCTGATGATTAATTTTGCTCTCCTCAGTCTGTCCTGCAACTGTTTATATTACCTTTTTGTTTGAACTTTGGCCTACTTTCATGTGGGAGACTTAAAATGGTCATATAATTTCAATAAGGTTTTTACAATACTGAAAACTTGGACCAGTTGCCAGCTTTACTTGGTTACCTGCTTGATGAGGTTCTGAGAGTTCTACTCCCCAAGCCCGGCCCGAGGCCAGGCTTGACTTGAGTTTGGTCTACCAGGCTGTTGTTAGCCTAACTTAACACAGTTCTGTCAATGCCCTAGACGCTGCAATCTTTTCTAATTTGTTCTGACAGCCTCATTTGTCCAGCTCCCAGTATTATCTTCAACACTACTGAAATTATCTTGATCCAGCATATGAGAAGTTTAATTTTTCATATTTCATTATACATTACACACACAAATCACAATAGCGTGATGCATCAAATGAACAAATCCACAAGGGCCGTGACGAGGATTCGAACCTACGTCCGAGAGCATCCCAAATGCTGCCTTAATCGACCGAGCTACGACATGGTCAAAAGAGTTGAAACCAGAAATTCTACTGAACTTACTTGGATCTTACAGCCTCTCCGAGACAAACCAGGGTTTTACACAACTCCCACATGCACTCGAGCTGTCAGTAAGCCGTTCTACCTCTTCGCCCTTACTTCATTACACATAGAAATCACAATGCGTGTAATAAAGTCTGTGTGGAATGAAGTAAGGGCGAAGAGGTAGAACGGCCTATTGACATAGCCCGAGTGCATGGGGGAGTTGTGTAAAACCCTGGTTTGTCTCGGAGAGGCTGCAGGATCCATGTAAGCTCGGTAGAACTTCTGGTTTCAACTCCGATCAAGGCAGCGTCTGGGATGCTCTCGGACGTAGGCTCGAATCCTCGTCACGGCCCTTATGGATTTGTTCATTTCATTAACAGACTAGCGGACTGTTTAATCCTCACGTCTGAGGATTTTCTTTCGACAAAAATGGAATTTATTTATACAACAAGCAAAGCTATTGCTCTCATTGGCTCTGACCTAAAACAAATTATAAACTTGTGTGTACCTTGTGTTGGTTCAGGGGATCAATGTCTTTGAGGTCCGACTCAGACCAGGCGGCCTGAGTGTTGGTGGTCTGACAAAGCTGTACGCAGCCGGACGTACGAGGCACAGAGGGGTTGATTAAGTATCTTGATTGGTTCTTATGTTGCTGACCACAATGACAAAGGAGCATTGACGGCGAAAAAGCAATTGATGAACAGCATACAAGATTGCATAAAGTTCCGCCGTAATGATGGTAGGGGTAGGCGGCATGTGTAGATGTGGTCAGAAGGCAACAGAATAAATAGCCTACACCATCGGCAGAGTTCAACCCATCTGTGTAGACGGCAATGGAGCGGGAGTGAAGAAACATTCAAGGAAATTTTTTTTCAAAATCGTAGGATGGGTGCATTTACCATGTGAGTCAAAGTCTTGCAATATTTTGCAAGTAGGACTCTCCATGCAGGCAAGGATGGAACGACATAAGAAATATTGCTAACGAGAACTGAGAGGGAATCTTGCAAGTGAAACACCTGTACAGAGAAGGAAGATCAAAGTGTAATTTCAGGTCAACACCAATTTAATCAGATAGTTGTCAAGTAAGTAAGTAATTATCAAAGAAACGTGGTGGTGTGGTCCTTCGATTGTTTCAAGCGTGGGTTGGACATGTAAATGAGTGATTGATGATTGATAAAGATTAAGATCCCGAAGAGCCATTTTCAATTGGAACCAATTGCCGCGTAACATTGTGGAGGTGGGATCCCTCGATTGTTTCAAGTATGGGTCGGACATGTATATGAGTGGGATTGGGTGGTTATAAATAGGAGCTGCCTCGTATTGGCCAATAGGCCTTCTGCAGTTGCCTTTGTTCTTATGTTCTTAAGAGGTGGCACGGGCATGAATAGCCCGTAAGTGGTACAATTTTTTGTTCAGTAAATCTTTTCAGTGATCTGAGGTAGCATATGAGTGGGATTGGGTGGTTATAAATAGGAGCTGCCTCGTAGGGGCCAATAGGCCTTCTGCAGTTACCTGTTCTTAAGTGAATTTATATCCATTCTATAGTACGGCGACCAAAATTGAACTGCATAATCTAAATGGGGCCTAATCAGAGCAAGATATAACTGAAGAACAACGCCAGGTGTCTTGTTATGGCCTATTCTTTTTCCCTAGAGTTTTTAATTGTCCTGGATTATTCACCTCCTGAATACCTATTTCGCCATCCATCCTTTCTGAAATTTATGAAATCCATCCACCAAAAAAAAAAACATTAAAAGTGGTCAGAAGAATAAAAGTTATAACATCGTTGGCCACCACACCCAGCTGACAATTGTTACCTTGGGTGACGTAAACCAGTTTCCTTGACCTGTGGCGTGTTGTACACACCACGAGATTCGCAGCACAACCTCTACATTTTAAGTATAGGTCAATATGTCTTAATTCTTCAATCTTTTCTCTCTCCTTTCCTTTTCTAGTCGGGTAAATTATGATGTATTCACCTAGTTGTGAATACGTACATCATAATTTCCCCTACTAGAAATTCTAGTGCAGTCTTCATTTTGGTAGGCGGTTCCGTTTACGGCGGGGGAGGCGGTTCGTACTCGAGTACGGAGCACTAGCTCAGTTACGTGCTGAGAGGTTCTACAGTACAGTCTAGGATGGTGAATGGGGATTATTGTCTACTTGTGCTTCATTTCTAAGTGCTAATAATTGTTAGTGTGATTTTTTTTGAGTAGGCACCCAATAAAAATTGCAATATTTCTTAGTCGAGAGCAGCTCTGATGTGGTTAACGGGAAAGGAAGGTAGTTTATCGCTCTAGTGGTGTTTATTGCTCACGGTCAATGCGTTGTGGATGACAATGCGTTGTGGATGACGAGCAAATACCTAAGTTCATTGCTCGCATAAAGACTTGTGGGGGGGCAATTGAAAACCAGTATGAAGGAGTGGATTTAGGAAATCATTATGTAGGTCAACAATGAAGGGAACTATCAGGGATGAAAGCGCCAAGCCATTACGACTATCAACAGAGCAGAAAAATTTGAAACGCTTGAGCGGTTGTACTGTACATTGATTGGTTGGTTTCCCAGTGAATTGGAAAGTTACCCATAGATTTAGGTTTTGGGTCGATTGAAGAATATAAAGATATTCTGAACTTCATCGAATGGGTGAAAGCCTTGGGCAATATTTTTTTATTTTTTTTTATTAAGTAAGAGATAGTTGTGGTCAATAGTATCAAAGGCCTTTCTCAGGTCAATGAAGAGTCCAATCAGAAACTTTTTTTTTTCAAGGGCTGATTAGATTATATCAGACTAATAATTGCATCGTTGGTACTCTCTTTGGGAGTGGAAGCCAAACTGACGGGCTGAGTATGTCAAATTTTACAAGGTAGGAGTAGAGCTGTTTGTAAATAAATTTTTCAAATATTTTTGATTATGGGTAGGTTTGATATTGATCCGTAATTGTTTGTATGCCGGATTGCCTCCTTTATGAACTGGCGTTACTTGTGTTTTTTTTAAGGATATCAGGGAAGGTATGACACTAGAGATTTGTTGAACAGCAGAGCTATGGGTGGTGCAAGGGCATGGGAGGCCCTCCTGTATACCATGGGATGGTACAGTATTTCACTAATGTTCCCAGTTTTGGTTTTTAATGAATGAATGATGGACACAACATCTCTTGGGCTGACTGGTGAATGGAGAAGAGGTTTTGGATAGCTGCCTGAAAGATGTGTTAACATGCGAGTCTGTGGGATTTTTTTGGCAAGGTTAGCACCAACTGATGAAAAGAAGTTATTAAATTAAGCTATTGTTTCTAACTAGGATGTTAGAGATGGCTTTCCATGTGTTTTTCATGTTGCCTTTTGCTTCTTTGAATTTACTCTCATAATAGGAAAGTTTTGCTTTTATTATTATACTGGTAAGCATTGATGCGTACCTTTTAACTACAATACTTCATTTGTAACTAGGCCAATCCTAACTTTTTCATATTCATGTTTCTTGTTGATTGCTTTGAATATGCCACTTGTGAGCCAAGGATTGTTTATTCTTTTGTCGGTTATTGCTTGGTGAGAAGGGGACAAAGAGTGTTGTAGAGGCTTTGAGTTTAGGAAAGGAAGAGGTTAGCTAATTAATTTATATCCTATGTATTATTGAATTCAGATTCCCAGTTAATATTGTGAAGTGCATTTATGAGGTTGCCTATTGCTGCTTCACTCTGTAGCATGAATGTAAGTTTCTTGTTTTCTGGTGGTGTTATGTCCATGTTTGCTATGAGGAAGGTAGGATAGTGGTCAGTTGTTCTGGCAATTATTATACCAGATGCAGGGGAAGCTGTTATGTTAGTCCATAGGTGATCCAAGGTAGTAGCAGATGTTTGAGGGAATCAGGTGGGCTTGGTGATTGTGGGGATTAGCATACAGGAGTTCATGCTGTTTAGGAAAGTCAACTCGGGGGGGGGGGGGGGACTATTTTGTTGACATAGGTCAATATCGAAGTCTCCTCCTAGAATGGTGTGATTTTTGTTGAGATTGTTGTTTATGATAATATTCCTTAGGTTATCTGAGAATGAAGCTATGTTAGCATTGGGAAATCTATAGATAGCTACGATAGTCAAGGAGGATTTAAGGGATTTATTCGAGAACTGAGCAAAGGTATATTCACAGTAGTCATCTCCTTCACTAATGACACTTGCAGATAAAGGTATCTTGGTAATATGTAGCTGTACCACCTTCATTTTTATTAGGCCTACAGTTGTGAATGGCTTTATAACCAGCTAAGTTGTAGAGTTGTGTACAGTATAGTCTTCACTTAGCCAGGTTTCTGTTAAATAATGAATGATAGTTTAGTACCTAGTGCTGTGAGTGGTGCATTTATATCATCAAAATGTTTACCAAGTGATCTGACATTTTGGTTGAAAACTGATAAGCAAGTTTTTTTTTTCTCCTCGAGGTTTGCTGTGTAATACATGCAGAAGTGATCAGTATGCTGATTATTGTAAATTTGTGACAAGATTTAGTTCATGATCAATATCAGCTTGCATGTAGATGCAATGGGGTCAAAATACAATAAAACAAGCAATTACAAAACAGTTAAATACTAAATCTGCTGTAAATATAAGGTAATTACAGTATAGCAAAAACACAACAATAAATAAAAGTACACAAATAATAGAAACAATTAGAAGTAAAATAAAGATTACTAGAGATACACCACAAGGAGAATACAGAAGTTAGGTAAAAAAAATTAATAAGACTGACAAGAATAGTGTATAATAATAA